AAGATTCATATAACTTTTTTGTATTATATGAATGATGCAGGACAGATAGTTGTAGCATCATTACTCAATCGGAACGTCAAACTGCGTCTCATTCTTCGAGACCCTGAGAAAGCAACTACTTTATTTGGCGAGCAGGATGAGGAAAAACTACAGGTTGGTCTCATTCTTATATGGCTATGCCAAACTCATCCACCCCCACCCCCATGCCCCGGGTCCAATTAGCTCGAGAAGGTATATTCTTTGTTAAAAGAGGATTTCTCAAACTTGATAGGTATGGAAAGGTGACACGCGGAGTCCTACAGGCATAGATCCATCTGTATTTGAGGTTTGTTCATCACATCTAGAACCTTTCTAGGACTTCCCTGGGAAGTTAAAATGGCTTACAAGTTTCTCAAATTGCTGCTGGGCTGTGCACAACTGACCTTTCAGGGTGTAACTCATGTCATTTGCTGCACCGGGACCACTGCTTTTCCGTCTAGGCGGTGGGATGGAGATAACACTCCAGAAAGAGTAGGTTAGAATCTTTCTAGTGAGATGTCTACATTTATGTGGTGGTCTATATAACTATGTCGCAATGTTTCATTAAGGAATATATAAAATGAAGAGATGCTATTTTTAAGTTTTAGTGCAGTAGTCTTTCTCAATGACATACATGCATTTGTTTGTGTAGATTGGGATGGCGTGAGAAACCTTGTTTCAGCATTGCCTAAGTCACTAAAAAGAATTGTTCTTGTTTCATCTATTGGCGTCACAAAGTTCAACGAGTTGCCTTGGAGGTAATATGCCTCTTATATTTAGAGTTCATCTAATGATTTACCAATTCGTATAAATTTCTTGTTGATTGGGGACTGTTAACTTCTTTTTAACTAAGAATCCAGATTAGCTTTTGAATGCTACTTTTTGTGGAATTCAAATTCACTGACTTCTAGGGCTTAGATATCTTGGCTTATGTGTGCATCACAAAGAGAATGAGAAGGTGATGAACTGGGTTTTTTATCATGAGAAGGAACGATGAAGAATGGGAGAACTTATCGATGTCAAGCTAGACATACACCTTTCAGAAACTTATACCAGTTTCACACGTTTAATCATTTCTCTAATATGGGCGTCAAAAGTGACTGTTTGCTCCTTGAGAAGCAAAATGAGACCAAAGATACATAATTTTCTCCATCCTTAAGAATAAAGTAGTTCTTTTGTTCTTTTACTCTCTCATAATGTTGTTTCCAACTTTTGTTTTGTAGCATCATGAACCTTTTTGGTGTTCTCAAGTATAAGAAGATGGGGGAGGATTTTGTTCGCAATTCTGGTCTTCCGTTCACCATAATCAGGTACTCGAACTATTTTAATGTGTTTTACTGGCTGCGTGTTAATAGCTTACCTTCTATACACTGACAGTGTAAAATAATGTTTACACTATCAGGAAAAGATAACTACAAGTAGCTGTCTATAATAAGTAGAACTTGTTACCTGAAAATAGAGCTGAAATTACATTGATCATTGTCAGCATGTTAATTATCTCATATTTTTTTGTGTTACTTGAATTTCGAAAAGTTACGTCTTTGGCTTATTCATCAGTTTGAAATTACAGGGCTGGTAGATTAACAGACGGACCATACACATCATATGATTTGAACACACTGTTACAAGCTACAGCTGGCGAACGGCGTGCAGTTTTGATAGGTCAAGGTATCTAATCTTTTAGTTTTCATGTAAGTAACATGTATGAGCTGAGGGAATTACTTTTTAAGTGTCTATTTAGGATCCCATATTTAAACAAGTTCGCTAATGACTCTCTTTGTTATCGTTTTTCATGATAATCAGAGCTTTCTTTAGTCAATCTTCTTAAAACACCAATAGGTTCTTCTAAGCACTTGGAACCTTAAGATTCATTCTATACGAGGATAGTTTTGTAATCAATGTGAAAGCAATCTTTACTATTTCCTACGTCGCGAGACATTTTCGTTTTGTTTTCTTACTATATTTATTTGGTTTTGCATACTTCTAGGGGATAAACTTGTTGGAGAAGTTAGTAGGCTTGTTGTTGCCGAAGCTTGCATACAGGCATTGGACATAGAATTCACAGAAGGACAAACTTATGAAGTAAACTCTATTCCGGTAATTATCTTGATCTAGTACATATATTTCTCACTTACAGCCTTCTTTGATAAATATATGATATTATCTGCAAGTAGCTTTGATTTTTTAATGAACGAGACGGAATTAATCTGAAATTGAAAGTAATGACGAGGAACATATATGAAGTGGACTGTAATCTCTTTGAGAGATGCATTGTGTTGTAAATAAGTTATGGCCAGGTTACTGAACTTAGAGAGGTTCTACATGAGACTTTAGTTAATTGAACAGGGAAGAGCTGGGAATGGGGAGGAATCCTGGCCAGTGGAGGATTCAAGATTTTCACCGAAGGGTTTGAAAAATAAAAATATAATGATATTTGAACTTCCTTAAGATGAATTTTGAACTCCTAAATCACTAAGTCAACCTCTATATATGTCCATAAAAAAACTAAAAAGAAACTTACACATGCATAACAATAAAAGCATAATCCAAAACCAAATGGTAATACTTTAGTTTTTGTCTTTGAATGTAATCGACATACCTTTCAAATGTTCTGTCAACAGCAAGTTTTCAGATCATAATTACCTTTTCCACTGAACCATGAAATAATGCAGGGTGATGGACCAGGAACAGATACACTGAAGTGGCAGGAGCTATTTAAAGCTTCTCACAGCAGTTAACTGCAGTTCAACTATATTTCTTATACAGTTTATCAGAGGAAGCTTTCTATTTATCTATACACATACACTGAACTGTAAGTCACTAAAACAATTCTATATGCAACAATTTGTTTGATGAGTTAGTATGTCAATATAGATAGTCACCTATATGCTGTCAGTAATGTAAAGAAAGCCCGTATATTTATTCGCCCTTCCACTCTTTGTTAGTATATAAGCATTTTTTTCTAGCAATTTCTGATGAATTTCAGATCACCTCAGTTTTTATGATGTTCTATATTTCTAGTTTTGATAGTTACATGACCAATAGTAGATAATTTGAATTTTTCTTAGGTATTGTTGTTCGTCTGGCCCTGTATGTGAAATGAGTAATAGTACCAAACTGACTTTATCTAAGCATGAAAGAATAGCAGTGAATCATTTGATTTAAGAATTGAAACACTGTTAAATATTTACAACATTTTTAGAGGATGAATCAAAAGTATATAATTTTATGACTTGTAGGCTAGACATGCTTAGTCATATATTGAGAGACTGCAAATTGCAGTAACCTCTGTTCTTTTTGTATGTTAAACTTTTCTTGTACACATTATAGATACTAAAAGTTTCCGATACCTTTAAAAATGAAGGGTGAAGTCCTCATCAGGGAAGTGTTACATTAACTACCTAGAAACCAAGAAATGAACTTCATTGTAGTGTTTTTTTTCAACTTTAGGTTGTATCTAAAACCTCTAACCTGACTAATTTGGATTCACATTCGTTACGCAAGACCATTAAGGGGATAAAGTGTTCCTTACCAAAGAGGTACTTCATTCTCTGAGTTTGAATCCAAGTGAAAGGATCCCAACCATCTCACCACATCCGTTGGTGGTAACTTTGTAGTAGTCAAGTAAATCCGTTGAACTATCTCACGGATTATAATCGGATTTGTGTGAGAGAACATAGTTGAATTATCTGTATGGGTTGAAATTAAGGTACCCTTAGCAAGCTGCAATTCTCCAGCTAGAATACTTGGTGGCAGAAAGAATGATAAGTCCCATGTCATACTGCATCTGAACATAGTTGAATTATCTTAATGTGTATTTTCTGTAACGTGAAATCTTTATGCAAACGTAGAGTTTTCTGATGTTAAAACCACTGCCTGAACTCAATGGTGATCTTCTTTTCAACAGGTGAGAGTATTTGTAAGTAGTAGATAGAGTACAGTAAGAACGAACCTACAGACTAAAGATCGATGATCCTTGTTGCTGCTGCTTTCTGGTTCGATCATGTAAAAAGTATACAACAATGTATGTATTTTGTAAGTTCTGTATAAATATTTTTGTGAAAGTTTATAAAATCTCTCAGATAAATGTGTTGTATGTATCCACAAAAAACACGAGTTGTCTCTGCATTTTTACCTCTTTTGTAACATTTGGACTACTTCAGATGACTTGTCTGATCACAAGTTTTCTCAACTTGTGGCTTGGCATGAAGATATGCAAGTCCCAATTTACTCATTTCTCAACCCCTCTACCCGTTCGTCTAACCTGTCAACATTCATGAGTCGTTAGCTCAAACATTGCTCGGAGACAGGGTCAAGAAGTACTATGCATAGCTGTCTCCGCGTTACTTTCTATCAGTCTCACCCAACAAGATGATTCATCCAAGAGAAAACAAAGTATGGCTCATTAAAGCAAGAACCCAAGCTAAAGAGCAAGACAATTCAATTAAGGTAAGGAAAAACACTAAATTAAGAGTTCAATAAGGAGCATTGGCATCACTGGTAAAGTAGTTGTCATGTGAAGTCACGGGTTTGAGCTGCGGAAACAATCTCTTGAAGAAATGTAGGATAAGTCTGTACAATAGATGAGCCTTGGTGTAACTTGAAAAGTTGCCTCCATATGACCTGAAGGAACTCGGGCTGTGGAAACAACCTCTTGTGAAAATACAAGGTAAGGTTGTGTACAATAGAACCTTATGATCCGACCCTTCGCTGAACCCTGCCTATAGCGAGAGCTTAGTGCATCGAACTACCCTTTTTACATCAGATTTCTCATTCTGATGACCTTTTTTTTTCAATTTGTCGAAGGACGTGGACATATGCAGTTCCAAGCTTATTGCCATCTAAAGAACCAAAAGAGATACTGGTATAATATGGGATCGGAAAAAGTTATATTAAACTTTTTCGATTAATAACATGGTAATTTCCCCGGTCAATACCAACAGTGATAATAAAAATGGGAAATGAAAAAAGTAATTAGGGGATGTGATGAACTATATACATTGACAGAGATTGAATAAAGAAGAATAAAGAGAACATGTGAAAGATACAACAGATTACATTGGGTATCGGAAAACACTCTCTACCTTCACAAGGTAGGGTAAGGTCTGCGACTCTACGTACACAACACTCTCCCCTAACCCCACTTGTGAAATTACACTGGATATGTAGTCGTTGTTATTGATCCGACACTATCACCTATGAATTATCCTCCTGCATCAAACTGTCAAGATTGACATTGACAGAGACGACTACTACTACTACAACAACAGCTGCTGCTACTACTACTACTAAATCCCATACAAGTTGGGATCGGCTAATTGACAGATACGATGTAAAGAAAATAAAAATTTGTAAATATTACATCAGACTATCTTAACTCTATCACCTATGAATTCTCCTCTCGCATTCCATGGTCGATTTTCGAATGATTTTCCGATCATACTGCGCTTTTCATTTACTTTACCATCTTCACATCTGTACTCAGGAAAGTAATCAAGAAATGTTTTGCTCCCAAGATCACTAACACCATTGAATAGGAATTCCCTAATCACATTCTGAGTAATTAAAAAAAGGGAAAAAATGAATTATTAAAGCTTCCAACAACAAGACATAGTAGAGGTTTTTGGATGAAAGAATGATACCTTGGCAAGATCTTCCCCTATCAGTCTTTTCAGAACTCCATGTCCTGGATCCTAGTAAAAGGGCATTTTGGATCATCAGAGAGATCAAGAAGGACAATAACAAAGTGGGAAAAAGTTGCTGCTCGGACTCTTCAAAATTGTCAACGGGTGTGTGTCGGATACTCCAAAGGTGGTGCATTTATGGAGAGAATCCGACGCGGGTGCCGCAACATTTTTTGGAGAGTCTGAGCAACAAAGGGGGAAAAGGACAGAGAAGCAAAGACGGAGAAAAGGCGAGGGAGAGGTTAAAATTAATTATTTCTTAAGACAATGTAAGAGAACCCATGAAAGAACAACTGTACCCACTTTTTCAGATCTCCATGTCAAATATTTATGCTGAGCTTCACAATTGAGAGCGATTTGGAAAGCATCAGTTTCCTCGTCTGATCTATCCATTAGCTCAAGCCATGCCTGTAACAGAAACAGTTAAGCAGTAATCCTGGTAGACAAAGCTGGATTTCTCAAGCCATGAGAACTTTTGACAAATGAAGCTATTTTTTTTAGAATGGTAACATAAAAAAAGAAGGCATAATACATAAACATGACCCTTAACTTGGCTTCAACCGGCAACTATGACCTTTTACTTTGGGTGTGCTCAAGTAGCCACTGAAACTTGTATAAAATTGAATAAATAGATACATTCGTCCTACATGGAAATTTTGTGTCCTACGTGTATTATGTCACGTAGGACATGTGTGTCTATTTGTTTAATTTTATACAAGTTTAAGTGTCTACTTGTGCACACCCAAAGTTGGAGGGCATAAATGTTAGTTGAACCAAGTTAAAGGGCATATTTATGTATTATGCCAAAAAAGAAGAAGCTATTTACAAAAATATAGCGGACAAGACTAAGATATACAAGAGACAAATTTAATTCTGCTCTTCCTCTTTCAGCTTCAGCTTACTGAGGACATGACCCTAGATCGGAAGGTATGGAAGTCGAGGATTAGGCTAGAAGGTTAGTAGGTAGCCGAGTATTATCGCACTTCATGTGGGAGAGGCAGGGGCTATCCTCCTCTCCGTTTCTCCTTGTTAGTAATATTATTTAGGAATCACATAGTTTCTTTGTTCTTCGGTGTTTATTACTAGTTGTTGCTCCATTTGCTTTGTATGTTGTTTTTTTTGTTGTCTTAATTTTTTATAATCGTGCTTCAAATTCTTCTTTTCTTTTGAGCCGAGGATCTATCGGAAACAACCCTCTACCTCACAAAGGTAGGATAAGGTATGTGTACATCCTACACTCCCTAGATCCCACTTGTGGGATTGCACTAGGTATGTTGGTGGTGGTGGTGGTGGTGTTGTTGCTGCTCTTCCCCTTTCACGTTTATACCTACCCATCCAAAAGCATATTGCTAAATTGTCTGACCACCTCATCAAAAAACATAAACAATTATCATATAATCGAGTAGTTTTTTTACTATGAATAGCTCCCTCTTGTTGATAGGGAGCTTACTGCCCCGCTCCCCCACCCTTTATAATTGTGATTATTGTCATGGAAAAAGAGTTTGTTCTCTGTCAAAGAAGCATGCTTAACACAACCTATAGCATAAGGCATTTGACCCAGGTCTAAATTAAATGTTGCCTGCGCTACAATGCACAAAAGCCCTCCATCCCACCAGAAAGTAAAGAACCAGTGGTGCCTGCTTGTGCTTGTTTTTCGTGATTACTATGAAATAGATGACAGACTCGATTAAGCAGGAACCCTAGAAGGACAGCGATGATGTACTTCTATTTACTTAATTATACTTCACACCCTCTCACATGCATGCCTGAATCATTTTCATTGGTCAAGCACGCGGAAATTCTTTTTGATAATGAGTGGCAATGAGACTTGAACACAAGATTTTTTTTCCTGCCCCTATACAACGTTAAGTTATGTAAGTACCTCGTTTAAAAGACTGAACAGTTAGAGAGAGTACTCTTTATTTACTCAATTATATCTTCAGTACCTATATTGAGAACTCCACACTAAGGTAGGCCTGCACAATCGTTGTCTACTAATAAGTTGTAACAACATAAAAGTGGGCACAATGGGAAATAGTTTACTTAGTACCTGGTAATATTCCTTGAATGCAGAAAATAAAACTGAATGGTTGTGTGGACTAGATGAGAATCTTGTCCATATGACTATTGGTGAAAAAAATCTCAGAGACTCGCTGGTGAGCTTCCCTCCCCAGGGTAAAAGCTGCATGAAATCTGTGTTAAGTCACCATACAATCATTTTAGAGGAGATTCTGAAAAGTGCTTGAAACATTGTTACGCTGAGGATTTGTGTAAATGTCAGAAGATCATTATAACCTCAGAATACTTGAGGCCTAGAGGAATCAAGTCTTTATAGTACTTCTCCTTGTAATCTTCTTGATCCATGATGTCATGCAATGGGTTGAGGTCCCTGCATATGTTTTATAAGGATTCGGTTTCGGTTAATCTCTGACACAACAACAATTCCAATTCAACAAAACACGGAATTAGCCAATTTAACCTCTAAGCATTGTTTTTATAAGAATATTTCTACAAGGTGAAAAAGAACTATTTTCCTTTCGTTTCTTCGCTTTTAGGTGTTCCAGAATATGTGTTATTTATTACCTCATTCTTGCTCAGAAATATAAAGTCAGTTAATCATAGTTTAGCAAACACATCTGAGTTCACGTGCAAATGCTCAGCATAGAAGATAGAAAAATGAAAGCTACATAATCTAACTTATCAAAAAAGAAAGCCATATAATCTATAGCAGTCTTAAAGATCACGTCAAGATACCACATTATTTCTTACATAAAACTTATAGGATGGTAGTAGTGAAAAAATGTATACGTGAATACATAGGCAAGATGAAGCGATAGGGAAAAATAGTTGTCGAGATGCAGGATAAAGATGTGTCTGTCCCCACTTGATGAAAGCAGGGAAACATAGCCTGATACTTCTCCATTTACCCCAATAGGATGTAAGACAACGGATTCTGATTGCATAAATCACTCTCCCGAATAGTTTATGAACTGAACTCTTTGTTGGATAAAATGGTCATTATGGAATCAGGAAAAGTATGAAATGAGTAAAACAATAGCTTACAGTACAATTATGTTCATCTTAGCAGTAGTGAAAAAGTTGGCACAGAAGATAGGCAGATCATATTCCGGTTTCGGGAATGCAGCAAAATCCAATACCTGCATGAAATGCCCTTCATTTAGTTCAAGGAGAACTGGCAGACTCGTTTATGATATTAGAACTAATATATCTGCATATACAACAATGAAACTCAGCATTCCTTGCACAATTCTCATCGCGCTTTGACTTGGGGAATCAGTAGAAAGGGAACCAGACAAAAAGAGTTTCCCGATCAAAATTTTGAAGCTGCTAAAGAATAATTCTTTACCTAGGCCACACGAAAGATGACATGTCTAGCACATATTATATTAACAGATAAATGAAGCTCTTCCTTAGAGGGTATTTTTGGTTCACGTGTGATTTTACAGCCCAACTATTCTCTCTTTTACCAGATTGCACTGCAAATGATGTTTAGCAGTTTTACATACCTCTATCTTTTCTCTCAAGGTACTCCCTTGATACCACATTTGATTATTCCCTTCATTATACTTCTGTGATTGTTTCAAAATGTGTCCTTATTTCTTAATGGTCGACACCATAAGGGAAGAGTCAATTTCTTAAAGGCAGAAAACATACCATTATCCCAATAGGTAGAAGATGGTTCTCTGCTCTCACTAAGAAGTCCAGTACTAAGGTCACTTAGGTATTTGGCAGCATCTTACTCAGGTTTCTTAAGATTGTTTCTCTATTTCACAAAATCTTTTTTAAAAGAGTATAGGATTTAATTTACTGTCTGCTATAGCTTTTGATAGTCGACTGAATTACATAAACATCTTGAAAAATCAAGAAACGCCCAACTTATCCCCCCCTCCGGCTCATGTCTGTTTTATCAAAGGCAAGAGAGGCAAAAAGAGCCTTGACATTTCAGACTAGAGACAGAAGAATCCTAGCAATCTGAGAGATGGAGATATCTCCCTCAAACTTGAATTTGAATTGGCTAGAAATTAGATTCCTATATTAAATTTAAGAAAATAGTCATAATTGTACTATAAATTTTTTTTCTTCTGAAACCAAAGACTGGCTCTAACATGAAATTGAATATAATTGGACCTGCATGCCGTCACTCCCTTCAATACATAGACTCCGAAGGAGTCGAATTTTAGGGGCTTCAAAAGAAAGCATTTGTAGTTCCGTTTTGTCATCCATGGCCAATAAAGAACTGTATTTCTCCTGTAGAGAGGGAAAAGGGTAACCACAGTTGGCCAGCATTAGTTCCGTAGAAAACCTTTTTATGGGGGGTGAGGATAACTCTGTAGAAAAGCTTAACAATAGCAAATCCACAACTTAAATCCTTGTAAAGAGTTAAATTGAAAAGGAAAATTTCAAAGGCAACTTAATGACCTAGAGATATCATGAAACTTATCATCTTTACAGCCTTAAACCGTGAAAAAATAAATAAGCAGAAAGCATGGCACGCAAAATCATGCATTTCAAAGCAAGGAGAAATTGAAAACAATAACATTTACATGTAGCTGGTTTAGAGTTGAAATGCACATTTACCCTCAGATATAGCCAGGAATGTTTCAAAGAGAAGAACAAGACTAGTAAAATGAGCAATCACAAAGAGAAAAAAATAACAAAATCCCATTGTATTACCACTAGTATACAACATAAATTTGTAGTCCTGTTCAAGAAGCACAACTTATTATTTGCTATACAAATACCAACCTCAACTGTTTTTTTCTTTTGGTTCATTTACGCTTTATGCACTTGCTATACCATCATTAACTTATTTGCAACTTACTGAATCACCTAAATGAATGAATATTGCACACCTTATTTCGCTCCGTTCTCTAAAAGATAAAGATTACATATTTTACCTGCCAACACCCTTCATTGTTTGAGCTCACTTGATATTCCCCCTCCCAGAACCCCTTGATTCCCTTCCAAGTTCAACTACTTAGTTTACCTCATCTTTTATTTAATTTTCTTAATCCTTCTTGTTTTCATCCAACTAAACATTGTCATAAGCTTTTAGGCTGGACTAAATGAGAAAAATCTCCACAAGGTTTTACATTCTTTACCAGAAGCGAACTAAAATTTTCTTAAGAATTCAAGTTATTCAACACTTTTGATCTAATAAAGATTAATATACCTCTCTTCCCTGAGAATTCCTGTTTCAAACTAGCTGTTTGCTTCAACAATACAGCCACAATTGTCCCAATTTATCGTCCCAATTAACCTTGCTTCTAGAGGTGGAAACTTTAGTACAGCAAGTAGTAAAAAACTAAAAAATGAAGTATAAAATCAGCTGGGGTAGTATTTCATCAATCTCAATAAATTGTTAGGTAAAATCCTCTGGAGTCCTCACTATTACCAGCCCATTTCCACTTCTAAACCACAAAATCCTGAAAACCTCTGAATGGTACATTAAATTCACCATATTCCAAAATACTCAATGAGCTTCACCACATATGGAACGACAATCCCAAGGAGAGTAATCACTATCAATTTTCTTTATTGTCGTATACCCTTTTTCATAAATATTTTGATTAGTTGCACTTGAGCCGAGGGGCTTTCGGAAACAGCCTTTCTACCTCCACGAGATAGGGGTAAGGTCTGCGTACACTCTACCCTCACCCTCCCAAACCCAAGTAGTGAGTTTACACTGGATATGGATATGATGTTGTTGTTGCAATGAGGGTGGCTGATTTTTTTGTCCCAACCTAAAAAAGCTAAACTTTTTAACTCTGATTTTGTTCCTTCTTCAAGAATTTGCAAAATCAATTTCATACATGTAATAAGGGTGGCTGATTTTTAGTCCCAACCTAAAATAGCTAATCTTTTTAACTCAGATTTTGTTCCTTCTTCAAGAATTTGTAAAATCAATTTCATACATGTAATAGGGGTGGCTAATTGTTGTCCCAACCTAAAAAAAGGCTAATCTTTTTAACTCAGATTCTGTTCCTTCTTCAAGAATTTGCAAAACCAATTTCATACATGTAATAAGGGTGGCTGATCTTTTGTCCCAACCTAAAAATGCTAATCTTTTTAACTCAAATTTTGTTCCTTCTTCGAGAATTTGCAAAACCAATTTCATACATGTAACAAAGGTGGCTAATTTTTTGTACCAACCTAAAAGAGCTAATCCTTTTAACTCGAGACTTAGTTCCTTCTTCAAGAATTTGCAAAACCAACTTCATAAATATAATAAGGGTGGCTAATTTTTAGTCCCAACCTAAAAAAACTAATATTTTTAACTCAGACTTTGTTCCTTCAAGAATTGCAGAAACAGAAAAAGTTTCACACTTAACACCGCAAAAGAAACACACAGAAACTAAATCACATGCTCAGTACAAACATAATGAAAGATTGTGGAAAACAATGAAAACCCAAAAAATTAGATACCTGCAATGGAGAAGGGGCCAAAAGGGTATGTGTGTTGGTTTCTTCTAAAGCAAAATGAATCAACTTCTTGTAAGAAAAACCAGAGCTTTCATCTGCTGTCTGGCTCATACTCATACACCTACTTCCATCTTTATTAAAGCTTCTATATTTTCTATTCAAACTAAATTTATTCTTACTTTTCAGTCCAAGAAAAGGAGTAGATATGGAAAACCAGCCTGGTGAAGAAAAACACTCCATTGAATCAAAAAGTTACAATCTTGAAGTGTTTCAATTCACAGCTCCATTTTTTCTTGTTAATTTTTTTTTTTTACTGAAGAATTTGCTGCTTAGTTTTCAATGATTTTTCTCTTCTTGATTTACTATAAAGTACTGAATAAAAAAAAAATTGCTAGTATAAACAGTAGCCAAAAAAAAAAAGTAGATGGTACCTGTTTGAGCAAGTGGTGGATTTTGCTTTGAGCAAAGGGACGGTGATTGTGCAAGCACGTCACCAAACGGCAGATTATGTTCGTTTTGGTGCTACTGTCTCCGTCTTAATTTACGTGACATCGTTTAACCGAGCATCAAAATTTAAGAAATAAGTAAAAATTTTGTTAGGTTTACGAAATGACTTGTAGTGAATATGTTTAGTTAATTTTTCTTTATCATAAATTAAGTGAGATTCAATAAAAATAAAATGAAAATAATGCTATTAAATAAAGAGAAAAATAATAATATATTTCATTCTATATCAATATTAAAGTCTATCTAATTTAAATTCATGATCATTTATTCATTTTCATAAAAGTTCTTGTTTTGGGTGGTTTTTAATTTATTTTTTTCCTTTAACATTTCAAGTAGTAATAAATGGTGGCTGAAAAAGTCACAATATTGTAATAACGAATCCTTTTTATTCGTAATAAATTTATATTTTCATATTATAACATAACATAAGTTATTTCATTTACAAGGTATAAGTTTAATTCATCATCACAAGTTATATTGAAGGGATAATTCAGTTCCTATAGAATTTATGTTTGGAGGGACAAAGTTTAGTTTCAAAATCCGTAAGTTATGTTATAAAAAACATAACTTAATTTCTACAGAACTTATGTTAGATAATGCAAACTTATGTTAACGAATTAGATACTACATAATTTATGTTGAACAATTTAATTTTTACAAAAATTATGTCAAATAATTTCTAAAATTATGCGAAGCTAAATTAGGTCATAAATAAAATTATTTTGTCCATAATTATTTATTAAATAAGCGATAAGAACAAAGATTAAAAATCATCATCCTAAAATAAAAGACAAAAGTTAATTAAATTCACATTGCGTAAGATTTTTTTTTTTCACCTTCCTCGCGTAAGATTTATTTAAGTGAAAATCGCCCCCACCACCCTAAAAAAATCAAAATTTAAATCTGGCAATTGATGATAAAAGATTAAAAAATATATATTAATAACTGAAGAGGCCAAAAACATTATCTTAATGAGTAAACCTAAGGAAAAGTATTTTAATGACAAAAAAATATATTATATTTTTCATTTTTATTTTCATCCTCCAATATTCACCTTTTGTGGTCCATACTCTACCCCTATTTGTTTCCTTGGATTCTCCTCTTTTAATTTCTTTCAAAAAAATTTACTTTTATTTAATTATCTTAGATCTCTTTGTCCTCATTTTTGGGGAATGTAAGAGGGAAGAAGATTACAAAAAATAAATAGTTTATTTTTTAAATTTTTTTTAAAAAAAGTACAGGGAACAAGATCTATTTTGCACAAATTGTAGCAAGATTTAGAGTATGGGTCAGAATTTATTCTACATCTACCCCTTAAAAAATATAACAGGTGTAAAGGGAATTAACACATAGGGTGTGTTTGGCATGATAAAAATTATTTTATCAAGAAAAATGGTTTAAAATATTTTTTTATTTTTTTTATTAGTTAAGTTTGCCTTTCATTCCATTTTTTTTATAATATAGATTGGTTATAATGTCGTTGTCTAGAAACTTTTCATACATATCTCCATTTTAAATAATTTTTCATCATGGCTTTTTAAAAAAATTATGTGATCTGACATTTTGGGGAAAAAAAATGCCTTGAGTGAGAATAGAATGTAGAAGGAAGCTTTTCAGAATTCATAGATTTATTCCTATTTTTTTTAGTATTCCTTGAGCTAATTTCTTATTGTTTTCGAGCATTAAGCTTAGGAATGAATGATCAAATCATAGTTCACTAAAGATTTTGGATGGATTTACTTGGACTATGCATTGTGAATGATATTAATTATAATTTATTAAGAATGAATGATTTTAGTGTTTTCTCAATAATATAATACAGAAAAGGGTCAAAATGCTAGTAAAAAAAATGTTATTCATTTTATATAATTTAAAGATATTTTTTACCCTTTTCAATAATAATATAAGTAGACCATCAAATATCTATATTTTGAATAAGGCCAAATTCATCGGTGGCCTCCTAAAGTTGGCAACAAATTTCACTTAGATACCTCAACTAAGCGATGTTCATTTTAAACACTTCATGTAGGATCCCGTTATATTATTTTGACACTTTTCTGATAATAAACAAAAAACTGAAGGAGAGTGTAATACATCGTTGATGACTTGGCAAACAATCAATTAAATGATTACATGTGTTAATTTCAGTTAAAAATTATTTAAAATCTATTTAGTAACTAAAAAAAATATTTTTTTTTCATTACACTCAAAATCTCTTTTGTGCTTTTTTTAAAAAAATTATTCTTTTCTTTTACTATTTTTCATATTTATTCTTCTTCTTTCTTTTTAGTGTTGTATTTTGAAAAGAAAAGAGGGAGAGGAAGAAAGAAAAAGAGAATAAATATGAAATATGGGTGTTAATATCCATTTTTCCGGGTGATGGTAGATTTAGAAAAGTAATACAATGAAGAAGAAGAAAAATGACTTAAAAATAAATTTGAATAAAAAAATTGACCTCCATTGAAAGAGTTTAAGCTTGAAAAAAGGTGGGGGTGGTGGCTTGAAAAATGGAGAAGAAGAGAAAATAAAATGTTTTTGTCAAGTGTATCACACTCACTTTGACATGTCAGCAAAAAGTGTCAAAATAACATAACAAAATTTCACATAAAGTGTCTAAAATAAATATCGCTTAGTTAAGATATCAAAGTGAATATTAATGTCAAATTTATGGGACATCGATGAATTTGGCCTTTCAAAAAAAGATAAGTTTGCCACGCACTTCGACATAGAAATACTACCTGTCAACACAACACGACCCTCTATATACTCAGTCTTCCGCAGCCCTTTCTAGTCAAAAAATATAGCTACCACGCCCACCAAAAACGTGTACATTATGCTATACTTTTCTAGAAAATCCTCCCAAAAACCTCAATAAATAACAAAAACCACAGCAGCAAAGCAAAGAATATGAGAAGGAAGATGATATCAACAACAATGTCAATTCATGAAGAAAATGAAGAAGATTTGTTTGATCGCTTACCAGATGCTATCCTCTTAACAATCTTCGATAAACTTCAAGATGCGAAATCTCTTTCAATTTCTTCATCTCTCTGCAAGCGTTTCCGCTTCCTCACAACCCAAACCCAGCACATTTCACTCGCAATCCCCTCACAAAAATACCACAAACCATTGCCTTTTTCCAGTAGAAACAAATTTATTCGATTTTTTCTCAATCCTTTTCAGTTTGTTTATCGACAAATCAGTCAATGGAACCAGATTTGTATGCCCTGTGATAATACACAGAAAAAGAGTGATAGTTATAGTTGTTGTACTTGTTCTTCTTATGCTTCTTCTTCTCCGGCTGAAATACTGAGAAATTTCACCGAAATCAAGGAACTCGAAATTCGAGTTCCCAGTAATGGCGGTGGAGGTGATTCAGATTCGTTACTGAAATGGAAAGGTGAATTTGGTAGTCAATTGAAAAATTGCTTGGTTGTTGGTGGAATATCACTTTCCCCAATTCGTAACGATCGAATTGACAATAGCGATGCTCCAATTAGGGAACTAGAGTTGCAACGGATGACGAATGAGGATTTGAAATTGCGAATTGTATGGATAATTTCGTCGTTAATAGCAGCATCAGCGCGGCATTGTTTGTTAGAAGAAGTGATTAAGGAGAAGAAATTGCTGAATAAAGTAGTGATTATGGATGATATTGGTCAAGGTAAAGTTTGTATGAATGGGGAAGAAGTAGAGGAAATGAGGAGAGATGCAGAGGTTTTTTCGTCGAAAATGCCGGCGTTGAAGGTGAAAATGTGGTATTCGCCGGAGTTGGAGTTGCCGGAGGGAGGATGTGTGATGAAGGGGGCGACGTTGGTGGTGATAAAGCCGGTGGAGGAGTGGAGCAAGGCGGATGATGGCGGAGATTTGGTGGCGAAAGGGTTTGGTTTCGCCGGAGATGGGAAAGAGGAGAAGGTGTTTGATGAAGTTGCTAGAGAATTGGTTAAGTTGGAAAGGAGTTACTCTCTTGAAATGAATTCCTTTTGATTTTTTATTTTTTTGAGGAAGTAAATTAATGTTGTAATTTGTAAAGAGTTTTTTTTCCTTTAATTAAAATGATGAAGTTGGAATATGAAGATCATGGAAGTTATTATTATTTAGTGTCATTGTGATTCTATCGAAAATAATCTTTCTATATTTAGAGTTCGTGTTATCCTTCCCAGACCCCGCTTGTGAAATGGGATTATATTGCAGCATTGGTGTTGTCGTTGTGATTCTATTGGAAACAATCTCTACCTTCACAAGCATACACGTTACCCTTTTGTGAGATGGAATTATATTGTATTGTTGTTGGGATTTCATTGGAACTTGAGAAGCATATGCATTACCCTTTTCTTTTCAGACTCCACTCGTGGATCATACTGTGTAGTTGTTGTTGTTGTTGCCATTGTTATTCTTCTTTCATCCTGGACTTCCACTTGACAAACTTCTTGTGTTATGCAGATTGTAAGTAACACGACTATGTAGCTCGTACTTTCAAAAATGTTGTCCCACTCATGTTGGATCATCCAATAATGCACTATTTTTGAAGGATCCGACACACTCATTGACATTTTGGAAGAGTCCGAGCAACATAGAGTTTCTAGACCAACAAGAACTCATCATTGCCAAGCTGAAAACAGGGTCAAGTGCATTGATCACCTAATTGGACTTGAATCTGTTGAGGTCAAAGCTCATCAATTTTGAGATTAATTCAAGTTCAATGACACCTTGCCTTCTGTCTCTATGGTATTTGTGGTTTTTGAAAAGTAACTGCATCACGGCTGCTCAAGAAGTTTGACTAGTTGCTCCTCCGACTCGGAGTGGATTCTAGGGGAAGAGCAGAGCCTCATCTTGCAATAGGAAGGTGTTCGTTGTTGGGACGGGTTCAAACTGGACTGAAGGGAGGAGGAAAAAAAAGAGTCCTCTCTTCATGGTCTATCGAACCAGACAATGAATACCTGGGGATGGCTAAGGTGACATTCACAACGCGTCTCCAAGATGTTTGTGAATCAATGGGGATGAAAAGATCATGGAAGTTGGTAATCTTATCTGGAGGAGAGGCATGGATTTTTTTAGGCAGAAAATTGACGACCCTTCACTTCTTCACATAGCAAAAGATGTTGTGAAAGAATGCAAAGGATTGCCACTTGCTATTCTTACAGTTACAGGAGCGCTAAAGCGTAAAAGCAAGTCCTCATGGGAGGATGCCCTCATACAATTACAAAGGACAACATCAGTAAATCAGATACCTCTTTTTGCTTTGTTCCTTGTTTGGAAAAGATATTAATATTAGGATTGAAGAATTACTTGGTTAGAACTTCATTAAAGCTTGAAGACATGGTAGTAGCTTGTTTCATCTTAAATCTAACTCTGTTCTAAAAGCTAGCTTATGAAATGAGGATTGCCCGAGAATGTATAAGGAGATCATGTAACCAATACCCATCTAATGTGGGACTCAACACCCCTCCACACACACAGGATTGGACATCTGGAGTGTGGGCAATATAAGATAAAGTGCCAACATCGGTAAACATAGATGGGCCTGCATTTGATACCAATTGTTGGTTCTTGCCTTCTTGGCAAAGATATTAGAGAAATAACAGAGAAAGGCTTGGGAAACAAATACTGCAATGCAATCCTATGTTCAGCTCTCCATTTATAGGAACAAAAACAGTAAAAAATAATAATCATAACTTAACCCAGAATATTCTTTTGCGGAATATATCTTTAACTAACTAATTACTAACAAATAGGAAAAGCTAGCTAACAAACTATTAAACTAGGATTTATTAGAAGAAAAAAAAAACTAAAGCAGTAAACTGCAGTGCAAAAACAAAAGGGAAAATGCATAAGTACCCCCAGCCTATGCCCAAAATCTCTGAGACACACCTAACCTTTACTAAGGTCCTATTACCCCCGAACTTATTTTATGTATAATTTTCTACCCCTTTTCGGCCTACGTGGCATTATCCTTAAAAAAATTGTCAACACGCGCTGGATCCACAAGATAGTGTCACGTAGGCCAAAAATTTATTCACTAACTCAGTTTCAGCCAAGTCTAGAATTGATAAATAGGGTACCTTCAACATTTGTAGGTTTCTATCCCAGCCTGGAAGGGCTAAGACTCGAAAATGCTGACCGAAGTACTGCTCTATGCTCTTAACAAACTTGAAACAATGGGAGTGTGGCAAATTGAGAAATTTGATGTGATCTCCATCAGTGGCCTGAGGTGTTCTGAATCAATAAATACTAAAGATAACAAACTGTGCAATCACAGAAGAGAAACTGATGGTCAAATATCTGATAAATGATGCTTATAAGGTGAAAAACCGTCTCAATAAAGTGATTCAGGGATCTTCAATTCTAAGGTTTGTCTTGTGCACCCTTGCTCTGATGCTATGACTTTCCGTTTTAAATATTCTTGTAATGTTCATATAGCTAGTTCTGTTCATCACTTGAAACAACTTTATTTTACTTGACAAATATTTCTGAATAGAAATCTGAAGCATCAGTCTACTCGTTATTCTTTTCAAGTAAACGTACGTACTAATTATGGCCTGTTTGGATTGGCTTTTGGCTTATGACTTATATGCCAAAAGCCATAAGTTAGGATTTCTAACTTGTTATTTTGGCTTATTTTTGTTATTTTGGCTTTAAAATAAGTGCTTATAAGTATTTTTTAACTTTACCCAAACACTTCAAAACTGCTTAAAAGCTATTTTGGCTTAAAAGCACCTAAAATAAGTCAATCCAAACGGGCACTAAGCTAGTCATCTGTCCCCTTTTCGCAATCTCTGCTCCCCGGAACAAGAAGCTAGTGATGATGGCTTCGAATACGAAGCTAGTAAGTATTCCTTTCATTGTTAAAAAAGACCTCATAAATCTAGGTGCCTAGCTTGCTTCACATGTTCTAAGAAATCATTCTGAATCAAAGTAAAAGTACTTTTCCCCAATAATCGAATACTTTTATCTGTCAATACTGCATATTTGATTCCATCCATAACTCGATTTTCTTCCCTATGAGTTATAGTTGAACATAACAACAAGAACAATAGTACATTTCAATTACTTTTCTTGTACTATGTTTTAGCCTTTCTATACATTTTATACAAAAACCTTAGCCAGAACATAATACTTTCACCTTCATCTGATCAATGGTTCCATGGCCATGATCTGTATGGTCATCTAGATGGATCGACTCGTGTAAATCCTTCATACATGACTATTTGGCTCTGCCTAGATCCGTTTATTCAAAATGCACTCATGACACACAAACTCTAAACTCATTGTTAAGATTCTTGGTGGTCTTGGTCTAGAGTTTCGTGAGATCTATACTGCTATACATGCTCGTTGTAATTAATCCATCATCACTACATACGCAGAACTCTATGAAAAGCTTCTTGATAATGGGCTTTTCCTTTGACGCGAAGAATCAAAGAAAGCTCTTAAAGCAAATCACTATGTTAGTGATTTAGTTAGGAGCTTTCTTTGATTCTTGTCAAAGAAAAAACGTATGATCAAGAAGTTTTTCATAGAGTTCTTCGTACATAGTGCTGGATTAACGAGCATGTATAGCAACAAAAATCTCACGTAACTCTAGATCAAAACCACTAAGGATCTTAACAATGAGCTGAGTTAAGAGTTTATATAAAAAAAATTGTAGTAGCACCAAATAATAAGAAAATAAAAGGTCAAATTTAAATGACTTTTAAGTCAAGAAATAAAAAGTAGCGGGAGTCCTACTTTTGGTTTTTAACTTTTTTAAAGTCATTTTAAACTTATTTTTAACTTTGTCAAACACTCTCAGAATCTAAAAATAACTTAAAAGTAAGTTTGACTAACTTTTAAGTCAATCCAAACATGATCTAATGACTTAAAAAAGGGTAAAAGTTAAAAACCAAAAGTAGGTATCTCTTACTTTTTATTTTTTGACTGAAATGTCGTTCAAGTTTGACTTTTTATTTTTGACTTAAAAAATAGTTTTTAAGTCAAAAATAAAAAGTCAAACTTAAATGACTTCAAGTCAAAAAAAATAAAAAGTATGGTGAGTCCTACTTTCATTTTGAACTTATTTTAAGTTATTTTTAACCTTGTCAAACACTTTCTAACTTATTTTAATGTATTTTTATATTTGTCAAACACTTCCAAAAGTTAAAAACGGACTTAAAAGTAGGTTTGACCAATTTTTAAACCAAGTTTTAACAGAAGTATACCTTATCAATTGTTTGATAGCACTTTAAACATTTTTATCCAAATACGTAATTATTTGTTTAAAAAAATAATTACAAACTTCTATTCGATAGCCCATAAATAGGAGGATATGAAAATCAGGGATTAGGATGGAAGGCTAGTAGATAATTTGATGTTGTCGAGTTTCCTTTATTAGTACTCTCCTAACTTATTTTTCAATTTTATTTTTTATTTTTTATTTTTATTGTTTGACATGTTATTTCCTTTGTTTCTTCATTATTATTTTTTTAATGTGGTTCCCTCATTATTGTATTTTCTTTTCTTACTCTTTTCGATATGACTCTCCTACTAACTTATTCTTCAATCTGTATTTTCTTTTCTTACTATTTTGGATATGTCTTGCTTGAGTTGAGGATCTATCGTAAGCACCATTTTCGTCAAACGCCACTTATAAAATTTTACTAAATATAATAATAATAATAATAATAATAATAATAATATTATTATTATTATCATAATAAAATTTGTCAACACTTATAGTTTATCGACTATTTATAATCACCTAATTGAAATTGTCTCTAAATACTAACATTACACCGCTGCTGCAATAAAAGAATTTAGGATCATGAATAATACATTAATCCTAAAGTATATACTTATTATATTAGTAAGATAACAATAAAATAATAACAGTATAACAAAAAAGACATTAATCCTAAAGTACTTATTATATTAGTAAGATAACAATAAAATAATAACACTATAACAAAAAAGACATTTAATATATTTACATTAATCTAAATTGGGATAAGGGT